TAAACCTAAAAATTTACAGCCAATTTTGAAGGAGATGCATCTTAGCTCTGGAAATTGTTATTGAATATGTCAATGCTGTTGTAATGAAATGCTTCTTCTGATTGTGTGGTTATTAAATAATTTTTTTAAAAAAGCTAAGAATGTCATCAACTAGCCTCAAGCCTACAGCAGACACTTTGCTGTGACCCACCTATCCGATGTTTCCAATGCATTTGGAAAACACTTTGATTCGTTATATTAATTCCCTCTATAACTATAAAATTTTCACGAGAATTTCCACATTGGGAGATGTTATTTAGGGGAACGTGAATCTGAGTTTCCGGCCCATGGTCACTCATATGTGGCTCAAAAATAAGCTGTTTCTTGTTCACTCTGAGGTGAGAGCCGTGTTCCGTAGAAACTGGGATGACTGAAGACGGGAACGGCTGCCGACAAGCCCAGCAAAGCCTTCAGAAGACCCACCCACCACGCCTTCATCTTGGACTTCCAGGTTCTAGAACTGTCTGACCAGAAGTTTCTGGGGCTTAGACTCTGAGGCTGTGGAGTCCGTCGACTCTCACAGGCTCACTTTTCGAGTTGCATTATTCACTTTCTAAGATGGAAAGTTGGCCCCCTCACCCCAGACCCCTGGCTTCTCCCTCTATGGCCAACAACTATGTCACACAATGCTCTGCACCTCACACTTAATGGGGTCCCACAGCAGCAGGCACCTGTGGACCACTGGGGTCCCCAGGCCCCAATGCCAGACTCACCGGCTGACATTTGTCCAGGTCGGGCTCCCAATCAGCAGCAGGGCTCTGTTGTTCACGGTGACGCTGTGAAGGGAGTATCCAAACCAAGAGAAGTCCTCCTCACCGCTCACCTTCCAGCTGGCCTCCTCCACGGACAGCATTTCTAAAGACCGGGTCCCAGATAACCAGCCAATGAGCCATCAATAAATGACACCCAGTCCCAATAAAGGAATGAAGGAGAGAGGCAAAGAGGGAGGGAGGAAGGGAGGGAGAGAAGGGAGGGAGGGAGAGAGGGAGGGAGGAAAGCTATTCCCTACCCCATTCTCACATCTGGGGACATAATTGTGAGGTTCTGGAGGTCTGGCTTTCTACAAATATTTTAAGTAGAAATGAGTTTCCCATCCAAACCTACTGAAGCTGAGAGCTTAGCAACAGCACTCCGTGCAGTGCTCACTGCTACGTATGCATGTCTATAATTTAAGTATTTAAGAACTAGAGGCAGGAGGATCAATAATTCAAGGTCATCTTTGGTTATATATCAAGTTCCAGGCTAGCCTGGATGGCATGGGGCTCTGTCTTTAAAAAAACAAAAGCCAAAAGCAACACAGAAAGATTGAATGAACCCCAATTCCTTTATAAGAGAGGACCTGAGACAGGTCTTGAGGAGAACCAGGCTCATGCTGAGTCTTCCAGAACTCATACAGCTCTCACTTCAGACAAGAAGTGAGCTGGAGCAGGTCCGTGGGGTGGAGGATGCTGTTTAAAAGGCCCTTGGGCCAACCCAAGCATCCTGGGATGGATGGTTTGGGTCTTCAGCCTTCGAAGGGTTTCTGTTACTTTTCAGAGCTGTTAAGAACAACCGCTTGCCTAACTCTGGATCTGGATCGAGCCATTGGGTGATTTTTGTATACTCAGTGATTCTTCTGAGATGGGCTCACTATGTAGCCCTGGTTGACCTGGGATTCACTAAGCAGACCAGGCTGGCCTCAAACGCACAGAGATCTGCCTGTCTTTGCCTCTTAGGCGCTGAGATCAAAGGTATGCTCCATGATGTCCATTCGTGCCCCCTTTTTAAGATTTATTTATTTAATATTTGTGTGTGCATGGGCCTCGTCATGCCTGTGGAGGGCCAAAGGACAACTTGCAGGAGTCCATTCTCCCTCCCCCTTGTGGGTTCTGGGGATTGAATTCAGGTCGTCAGGCTTGGCAGCCACCACCTTTCCCCAGTGAACCACCTCACCCACCCTGCTGGGTGAGCCTATCCTCATCACTTGGCTGCACATGTGTCAGAGTGGGAGCCTGTTAGCAAGTCTCAGTGACATGAAAAGGACACTGGCCCACATGCCAGAGACACCATCGCTGCCCCCGGGGGGGGGGCGGGCATGTATGGTCTGTCTCTGTGCCTCCCCCATCAGCCTCTACCTTTGTCACTATGGTCAGGGCGGGAATAAAATGCAGCCACGATTCCCCTCTGCTTCCCTCCACCCGGTGCGAAAGGCGAGCCGATCACCAGGTCAGGCTGGCCGTCTCCATCTGCATCTGCAGCCAGGAGTGTCCAGCCCAAGTTACAGTAGGTGTCCTTCAGAGGAAAGCAGGAAAGAGCATCCCTTCAGTCCTGGAGACCACAGGGCTGCAGCTGTGAGGGAGGCCCTGACATATGGGAGGTATGTGGGAAACATACCTGGCAGGAGATGGTGACATTAGGGGAAGGAGACAGCCTCCCTTGCTTGGAACCATAGTAGACGTACACTGCACCCTAAAGGAGCACAAACAGCGACAGACCATACGCTTTGGTGGCGACAGCCCTGAACAACAACAGGACAGAGGACTTGCTGGACCAAACCACTGTCATCCCCAGAAACCCACTGTGGACACCGAGCCTTCTTGATGATGCAGGTTTTCTGTGCTGCCCATGCTGGCCAGGAACTCATTGTGAAGGCCAGGCTGGCCGCTAACTCACAGCAATCCCCCTGCTTCAGCCTCCTGAGTGCAGGGATTACAGCAATGAGCCACCATGCCTGGCTATGGTGTTTGTTTTTAATGGTCAGTTCCAGGAGAATTAGAAGGGCCCCAAAGCAGCAGCCTCTGATTTAGTCCTTATCACTCAGTCACTGCTTGGGCTGCAGCAGAGGACCTGACAGGGCTCCTCACCACACACCCCTTGCAGTCCAAGCTCCTCCCCCAGGCCTTCCCTGCTGGGTACACTGCTCTCCTGGGTCTGTGCCACTCTTGGCCAGGGCATGAGGCTGTGCTGTCTGTGTGAGGAATCAGCGCCTCCTCTAACCTGCCTCCATCCCCAGGCCCCCTACAGGCAGCATTTCCCATAGGAGCTGAGGGCACAGCACACCACATCAGGACTCTCTCCTGTTGAGCTGGGGGACAGGGAAAGGGGAAGCACCAGCCACAGTGGAGGCAGGGCAGTAGTCACGATAGCCAGGAGGCAGAACCAGCTTAGATGTCGCCATCGGCGAAGGATAAAGACGATATGGTATGATACACATACACAGCACAGCAGTGAAGAAAAATAAAATGCTGTTTTTCAGGAAAACGGAGATCATCATGGTGAGTGAAGCCAGGCCCAGAAGCAGAAACAGCACTACCTGCTCTCATATACGAATGCTAGATCTGAAATTATATATGGGGGTCATGACACTGAAAAGATCATGAGCAGGGAGGGGGAGGTCTTAGGGAAAGCAGAAATGAAGAAGGCAATGGAGCACATGTAATAGCAAATCAGACGGGGCAGACAGGAAGGAAGGGAACCAGCCGCAGCAGGGGAGGGGAGCCAATGAGAGCAGTGGACTGGTAACCATGGAAAGAGCCCACAGGAAGTGCTGATGGGGGTCATGACACTGAAAAGATCATGAGCAGGGAGGGGGAGGTCTTAGGGAAAGCAGAAATGAAGAAGGCAATGGAGCACATGTAATAGCAAATCAGACGGGGCAGACAGGAAGGAAGGGAACCAGCCGCAGCAGGGGAGGGGAGCCAATGAGAGCAGTGGACTGGTAACCATGGAAAGAGCCCACAGGAAGTGCTGCAGGCCTGCCTAAAACACTAGA